AAGTTGTGATTTATTCATGAGTAAGGTGTTGTTATCATTGTCAATTATTTACTATTGTTTCAGCTTTGCATGTTTTGACTTCCAGAATAATAAATTTATTCAAACTCTCCACAGTCGGTCATATGTAGGAAGTAGGTATGAATCAAGACTGTCATGAATTGGGATTGTAGATGACTAAAGGTGTTTAGCCATAGCAATGGTTGCTACAACATTCATGAGTACTCATAAGTTATGAGTATTGGAATAAACCCACGCTCACTTGTATCACTTCATGGAATTTATCTCGAGTGATCGTGAGACGGTAATATCATATAAGTCTTCAAACCTAGAGATATGAGTTGTTACCTATGAGTTGGTTGTGCATTGATTGCACGTAAACGCATCAGTAACTTGATGTTATAAAACGTGCCTTTGTGTGCAATTCAATAAGTAGTAGAACAAGCATATGAGTCGAAGTTTATCTGTTCCTTCTAGAAATAGAAGCGATATCTGGGCCCCTCGATGATTTTGTTTTGACCTATGTACCGGGCCCGGTCAGAACTAAATTGATGTGTTCGATTAAGTTCTTTGTCAAACAAATCGGGAAACAAACTACTGGACAATAAGTAAGACATTGTTCCATGTATTTGTCCGGCTGATATCATGAGAGCAGAGGATTATGTGATCACTTATCTAAAATGGCGCTTCATAGTTCAACAGAGTTTTTGAGACCTACGATTGCCGGTTGGTTCCTGAAGCTATATAGGCAAATACAGTTATCAGACTTATCCAAGTGGGAGACTGTTGGATAAGGTGTCTAAGTCCATAACTTATTTGGTATATACTTGACCCGACCCGGCATGGTCCATTTGGGTTGCACTTCACCCGAACTATTTATATGGATAACATTATGAGAAGAGTATATTTGCGGCCTACTAATATATTATAAGTTATAATATATTAATATGAAATTGTATTATTTAATTAGTATTGATCTTAAATTAATTATGAATTAATTTAGTGATCATAAGGTGACTAATTAAATAATGGGCTATTGTACTTATATAGTGTGGGCTAACACTCATTAGGAAATGGGCTAAGCTTAAATGGGAGTCCATGGATGAACCATGGAGCTTTTAACCCATGGATCCTTGGAATAGGAAAAGACATGGGTTATTAGGGTTTGCATGGTTCATAACCCTAATCATCTACACTATATAAAGAGGCTTATGGTGCTTGAAAAGACACTATGTGTGTGTGCATAAGAATGGTCGAATTTCTAGAGTGATTGGATACTCTCTCATAAGTTTTCCAAGTTTGTGGTGATTTGTGATTTCCATTTGAGGCATTCACATTATTGGTGCTTGGCTCTCAAACTCTCAAGGAATCAACTCACTAACAAAGGTATGTAATTCTTCTAGTATCTTTTATGTTTAAAAGTACCCCATGTATGCTAGATAGGTTATGAACCTTGGAAAATTATTTTGCATGTATTTTAGACAAACATAGATCCAAGGTTTCTAGGGTTGCATGAACACCTTAGGAGTGTTAGTTTGCTCAAAACCCAACACTATTATGGTTTACTGGGTCATATGTTTATCGGTTATGTATATGTTGACATGTTGTGTGTGGTTGGGTTGAGGCAGACCATAGTAGACTGAAGGCCAAGAGACCCAGGGCATCTCGGATAGAATGCAGGCCTAAGAGGCGTACCAGTCAGCCAAAGGCCCGGAGAACGTTCCAGATAGGCTGAAGGTCCGGTGAGGTGTTCCAGTTATGCTAAAGGTTCTGTGAGCGTTCCAGATAGTCTGTAGGACCGGTGAGGCGTTCCAGTCATGATGAAGGCTCTCTGAGCATCCCAAATAGTTTGTAGGCCGGTGCGGCGTTCCAGACAGGCTGAAGGCTTTGTATGCATGTTGTTTGTTATTATGTCTATGTGGTGGTATTTTGGGGGAACTCACTAAGCTTCGTGCTTACAGTGTTGGTTTATGGTTTCAGGTATTTCGGTGGACTGTGGCAAGGTGAAGGTGTGACCGTACACATCCTTGGTTTTACAACTCATTGGATCTTGGAAGACTCTGATTTTAAATAATGTTTTGGAAATAATAGTTTGTAAACACTTTTATTAATAAATAGGTCGCTTTTGAAATGTTTAAATTTGTTGATATTTTTGGGATGTTTCACTTCTGCTTGCCAAATTTTCTAGTTTATGAAACTAATTTTGAAATAAAACCCAACAACCGCACACAAGACATGAAATAGCAAACAAGTTAGTCGCGTCCTGCGGTTTCAATGACTATTTTTTACTAGTGGCTATTTTTTGCAAAGTTATTAAGGAAAAGGACTTGATTTATAATTTTCTGATAAAAACACCATTTTAGTGTTTACTCTAAAAGGTAAAATCAAATTTTGGAACAAAACTGTAAACTTTAACAAACCAAAGGACCATTTTTATAGTTTACAGTAAAAATCTAGAAAAGATATCGATAGTTATTTATCTAAATATATACTAATACTAGATTATAACCCGCGTTAAACGCGGGGAAAGTATTAAAAAAATTACCAAAACATTTACTGCAAATAAAATAATAAGACAAAGATTAAGGAAATTACCTTTAAACTTAAAACAAATTGACAATAGGCTTGGTCAACATAGTTTGTTATTTAAACTTAAAACAACTTCACAATAATAGACTTAGATCAATTTAGTCCATAATCGGTTGTAAGTCAACATTGTATTAGAAGATATCTAAAACTATTCAATTTATGTTTTTGTGTGTGAAAAATATGCTTGAACACATAACAATGACCAAATACTTGAATTTTATCTGAATTATTATAATTTTGTATTGTACATAGAAAATAAAACATGAGTTTATGATTAAAAGAATAAATAAAAAAGTAATAAATCATAGAGTAATATAAAATATTTAAATAGTTCATTACAAAAAACAACTATGTTCGAATGCAAATTAAAATATATATAATCACTAATATCTACTTGGCATAGTCAGTGTATCAAAATCAGAACGGATTGAAAAAACTTGTTGAGAAGGATGTGCCGGAACCACATACTCAATCGTATTTCCTTTAAAGAAATATAGGGTATTGTTTCTATAATCCCACCATTCGTGTGCACCTTCATTGTAAGTACTAACATTTACTTTAACCCGCCGATTGTGACCAAAGGGCTTCTAGTCTAGCGGTACCGGGTGTTGCCCTCCCTTCTAGAGGTTGAGGGTTCAAGTCTCATTGGAGACATAGGTGGTATTAGGAGTAGTTTAGGAGTAGTGTAGATTTGCCGTTCTAAAAAAAACCCACCGATTGTGAATGAAAACCCAAATAGCCCACAAACGATCTCCACTTACAGAGAAATATCCCAATTTTCTGTGAAACTTGATCAATCTTGATGCATACGGTTTGAAGTCATTAATAGTAGAAGGTGCAAATATGATTATATGTTTTTCTGAATAAATATCAAATCACAATATGGTATCATTAGATAATAAGAAGTAAACGACACCACCACTTGTAACTGCCTCATCAGAATCAGGATAAACAGATGATGGTAACTGGATATTTTGAAACTCCCTCCATTGCCATGTAGTAGATGAAAACAATTCTATGTTCTAGTAATCGCAGTCCACTTTTTTCCTTAAGATGTGGATGTAAGTATAATATTATTGTGGTTATATGATTTAAGATGTGGATGTAAATATAATATTAAAGAACTTAATAATAATTTACCTTGACCGGTGATTTTTGAAGGTAATTCGGTAAACTTTCGAGCAACTCGACAATTAGTGGGTATGAAGAAATTATTTTCTGAAAATGAAAATTTGTATGACAAAGAAGTGAAATATATAAATAAAATATACAAATTTAATACACATAAGCAAATAAAAAAAACAAAAAATGCAATACAAAAGAGACATAACATATAACAAAATGTACCTTTGTGGGAATTTCTTTGTATTGTTTGATGTGATGGTGTTTTTAGAGCATTTGATGAAGAGGGTGAATGAACTAAAGAGGAGAAGTATATATAAAACATTAAATTAAATAATATATTAAAGGAAAAAAAAATTAGTTATACAAAATAAATATTATAGACATATATGTATTAAAAATTAAATGATAAAAGTTTATATATTGGGAAGTTAAAATTGATGTTATATGATTTAAGAAGTAGATGTAAATATAATATAAAAGAAATTAAGAATACTTTACCTTGACTTAGGTAATTCGGTAAGGTTTCGAGTAAGGTTTCGAGCAACTCGACAATTAGGTAATTCGGTAAGGTTTCGAGTAACTCGACAATTAGGTGGTAAAATTGATGTTATATGATTTAAGAAGTGGATTGAACATTCGGCTGTATGATGTTATGAGACGGGGTAGCCTTAGGTAATTCGGTAAGGTTTCGAGTAACTCGACAATTAGGTGGTATGAAAAAATTATTTTCTGAAATGAAAATTCGTATCATAAACGGGGGAGAAATATTAAAAAATATTAATAGTACAATAGATAAGCAAATATAAAAACAAAAGTGTATATATATATAAATAAATAAATATATATATATATATATATATATATATATATATATATATATACACACACACTGATGATTTCCTAACACTTTAAATTAAAGAATTGAATATTAGAAGGGTTTAAATTAGGTAAAAAGTAAAGTATGCATATAATTATGGTAGCAATAAATACAATATAGAAAAATATATTTTGAATACTTATACTATGATTTTATTCTATTACCATATGAAAACAATGTATATTTATGTAAATAAAATTTAAATTCCATTTAGACAAATAAAGTAGGTGAATTAGCATATATAAAAAAAATTATTAATTTTCGTGTGTGTGTGTGTGTGTGTGTGTGTGTGTGTGTGTGTATATATATATATATATATATATATATATGATATGCTTCATTTAGAATAATAAGGTACATATAATAAATTTATAAAATCAAATGATGAACGAAAGAAAAAGAAACAAAATATGCATTAAATCAAAACAGTTCAATAACTTGAAATTGTCATAAATAACACGAATATCATCGTGTTCACACCAAATAACAACCCAATAAAATTTTAAAAACAACCAAAAGATCCATAAACAGACAATTAAAAGTGCGACACACAAAAGATTAAAAAGGAAATGTCTCTAAACATATTGAAGATGAAATGTAAAATGTTGCTGGGTGGCTTTATAATTAGTCCAACTTTTTCAACTTTGGGATCTTCAAGGTAGAAGGAACAACACCAGTTTTTGAAGAAGACCACTCCAAAGAGTCAGTGTTGGCATCAATCTCAATAGGGCGCTTCCCCGTACTGGATGATGGTGTTAAAGTTTCAAGGTCAACAACATCAAGATTGTCATCATGCACAGAATCAATATTTTCCTGTAGAAAACACAAAATAATAAAAATCCGATAAGAGTAAAATATAAAAAAACATAACATATTTGCACAAATTCATGAAAAATGAAAGAAAAATATATTGAAAAGAGGGCATAGGGTTTGACTTTGGAAATATATATGAGACAATTTCCCACCTTATTTGGCTTGTTAATAGGAGTACCATTATCATTTATAATACGGTGTTCCTGATTTGGTGACCGTTTAAAAACCTCAGCAAGAACCCTTTCATCATCAGTCAACTTCTGCACAGTGTAAGCACGATAGTTTTTCTACAGATTGAACATGGATATCTGAACTTGAAGACAAACTTCTTATTTAGAAGGATTTTGAACTCATCAGGTATCTGTTGGCGTCCTTGATCCTAATTTACATTACAACGAAATAGTTGAAAAGTTAAAGAAGAAAAATCATATATGTCAATTATTTAAATAATGGAGATATATTATCAAACCTTAGCTATTTTTTCCATCAACCATTGGTTTCCACGATGAATAAGATCTTTTACATGACGCTCAAACAATATGAACGAAGAAGACCCACTTTCATCTTGCACACGAACTACTATCCTAATCCTAATAATTATAACACAATACTTATATTTAGCTTGACATACACAATGAAATATATGAAAAAAGTAAAATACATGCATAGTCGAAGAGCTAATAATTACTTACTTTCCATATACATCCGAGACTAATCCACAACCATCACAGTGAAAAGGGCCAGCATCAACATCATCATCATTTTTAGTAACTTTTTTAGAACAATCACGACAATAAAATGAATACCATCCTTCATCCATATCAAAACCGATGATAGTAGCGATGATGGTTAAACCAACTTCCTGTTTCATACATTGTTTGAAAGGAATCATATTAAAATCTTATTTCATATGAATTGTACATAGAAAATCAAAACAATAATAGAATACATAAACTCTTATATAAAAAGGTTAACTAAACCTCGTTCAAATCAGGAATCTCATCAATGTTTTTTATTTGAAAACGGAGGTAGTAATCCTCTGGATTAGCCACAACAGTATCTGAGTTGAGCTGCGATGTACGGCTAGAAGACTCAACATTCATATCCAAAGCATTAAGAAAAGTAATGATTTAGTAAGCTAAATGTCTTAAGTATGGTAAATAACTAATTTAAGGTAATAATTACAGTTGTTATCATATAAAAACATAAAACATTACATGATCCATAATTATTAGAAAAACATACTTTGATTTGAACTCTAAAATGTGAGGCATATCATCATTTATATGCAATCTAGACCCAAACAAACAATTACTAACTTGAGGTTGACCTGGAAATAAAAAGTAAAATAATATTGTCAGTAATTACTTTGAAGTTGAAATGATAATTTGTTGAAAAAAATCCTTACCACCCGAAATTTTGAGTTTGGCCAAACGTAGCAGGATGATAACCGGAGCAGTTTCATTATGATGTTGTGAAATGTAAGTATTCAGCTTCAGTGCAAAACTGTCCCACAAAGCGACTGCAATTTTCGTACCACTAAAAATGCATGGTGGTTATTAATGAAAGATAAATATAAAAGTGGGAATGTGTAATAATAATACGAATATGTACCTTAAATCTTGAGCAACCAGATTCATTAACCTTTTTTCTCATCCATACTCAACAATGACTCGCATGGGATCAGTTGACACAACTTCACCAAGAAAATCTATGTGACAAAATGTAATAAATTAGTAATAACAATCCAAATATGTATTACATTAAAAACTGAAGTATAGAAATAAGTTAAACTAATAACATAACAACATACCAAATTCAACACGAGTGTTAAAGTTCCTGGCTAGCAAATCTGGGAAAGAGATAAAATGATAAGGATCTACCATATCAACAAAATCAGTGGATACACGAACTTTTGTGGTTTTGTAGAAATTGATTTTATGTTTACGAGGAACAAGCATGTATTCGCCTTCATTGCTAGCCATAGCAAAGTTACTGATCTCCCTGACAGCTCCTTCATCGAATAGGGATTCAAATACAGGAATAAGATTTTTTTTAATTGTTGCGTGTATTCTAATTCCTTGTAGGTGACAATGAAAGATAAAAAAGTGTAAACAAAAAAAGTAATAAAAATACATCAAAATAATATTGTTTATTAAAATTTAATAAAGTGGAAATAATATTTAAAGAAAAAGTATCAAAAAATTTAATAACATAGAAATAAAACAGAAAAACTGAAATCGATTAGTGTTCATATTTTTATGCCACATATAAAAAGCAATTAGAATACATTTTTTATGAAAAAAATACATAAAATTTGAAGTAATAACATAAAAAGTTGACAATCTAAATTATAAAGTTTGTAGAAACATGACACAATTAATACATTTTTCATGAAAAAAAATACACAAAATTTGAAGTAATAGCATAATAATTTGACAATCTAAAAAATAAAGTTTGTAGAAACATTACATGCTGGTCAATTAAAATCATGTCTAGGCTCCCGACCATATTAGGATTGTTTTTATAGGTCTGGTTCCAAATCAAGACGACTTTAACACGTATGTTCCAAGACTCTTTCGATGCATCCATTTCAGCAACCTTATCAAACACAACCTGGTCTGCATTGTTAGTTGTCATGGAATACTACTATCTGCAATGAAAGGAGATAATTAGTTAGAGAGAAAATTGATTTGGAATGAAAAATGATAGACACTATATAAGAAGAAACGATAGAAACATAACCAGTAACCATGCATAAATGTTTTGGTTGAAGAAAGGTTAATGGTATCACCTGATTTTCCGTTTTCTGCTTTGTAGTAGCGAATTCTAAAGCAAAACGGAGGATTGGATTGAGAAGCAAGAGATGTAAAGGATTAAGAAACTACAAAAGGTTTATGTAAATATATATATATATATATATATATATATATATATATATATATATATACACACACACACGCAAAGAGCAATTATATGGTAAGTTTTAATTGGATTAAAAATCTTATTTAGAAATAGAACATATCAATTTTCAAATATTAATTTTTTTGTATAATATATAGACGCATATTAGACTTATATGGTAAGTTTTAATTGGATCAAAATCTTATTTATAAATAGAACATATCAATATTCAATTTTTTTTATATATTATCTTATTTTTCCTTAAAATATGTTAGATTTATGGTATGATATCGAAAATAAGATCAATATAACATGTCAAATATAATTACAAAAATAGATAAAATCATACCTAATTTAAGATGATAATTACCATATACAAAACTGTAAATTTGAAAAGTTTGTAGAATATAAATTTGAAGAGTATACATGTATTATTATAGGAAATTATATTGTATGAATGTATATCTGTATAATAAAAAAAGACTTAATAAACAAAGAATATTAAATATTTTTTTAAAAATGATTTTTTTTTTCAAAATTCGTAGCAAATTACAAAATTTGATTACCTGCATGCACGCGCAAACCCTGAAAAAAGGTGAAATATAATAAATATATTAGAATATTTAACTTTTTGTAATGTTAAATAATTAAATGTATAAAGAAAAATAGCTTACGTGCAATAGACCAAATCAACATTTTCTTGATAGCATTTGTAAAACTTGTTAGTTCTGAACTATGTTGAAGGTGATTCCACAGCATCCATCACAATAAACCACTTACTACCCTTGATATTTCGTGTGAATTCTCTAAACTTTTATGTAGTCCCTACACAATTAAAAAACAAAATATGAGATATACACTATGAAAAGAGTAATACGAGAATTTTAAAATTTAAGAGTAAAAATATGAACACCCTTGTTGTGTTTGTACCACTTCATGTTGTTGAACAGATAAAGCCAACATTTGTTTCTGATCGGCTATAGAGTTCTGAATATCAAATGTGACATTTTTAGCCTCCATGACTGCATTCTTAAAGATCTGCTTAAAATAATGTTTCACATCATTGACCTGTTACTATTAAAACTTAAATTCAATTTAATGATTTCTTACATTTTTGATTGCCAATGTTTGATCTGATATTTTGGACTTTATATGAACCAAATCAGAAGAAGCTTCTGTTTGCAGTGTGTCAACAAGCTCCTTTAATATTATCTGGCCTGAAGTGTATGTCTCTGTTATGTTCTTGATCCTTGATTCCAAAACCTCAGTTTTCTGGTTAATAAATAAATGCAGTAAAACAGAAATTGTAAAATGCAAAAATGATTTGAAGAAAAGATAAACGAATATTAAATATTTTTTTAAAAATGAAATTTTTTTTTTCAAAACTCGTAGCAAATTACAAAATTTGATTACCTGCATGCACGCACAAACCCTGAAAAAAGGTGAAATATAATAAATATATTAGAATATTTATTTTTTTGTGTTGTTAAATAATTAAATGTATAAAGAAAAATAGCTTACGTGCAATAGACCAAATCAACAATTTCTTGATAGCATTTGTAAAACTGTTAGTTCTGAAATATGTTGAAGGTGATTTCACAGCATCAATCACAAGAAACAAATTACTGCCCTTGATATTTTGTGTGAGTTGTCTAAACTTTTATGTAGTCCCTACACAATTAAAAAACAAAATATCCGATATAAACTATGAAAAGAGTATTAAGAGAATTTTAAAATTTATGAGTAAAATATAAACACCCTTGTTGTGTTTGTACCACTTCATGTTGTTGAACAGATAAAGCCAACATCTGCTTCTGATCGGCTATAGAGTTCTGAATATCACATGTGACATTTTTAGCCTCCATGACTGCATTCTTAAAGATCTGCTTAAAATAATGTTTCACATCATTGACTTGTTACTATTAAAACTTAAATTCAATTTAATGATTTCTTACATTTTCGATTGCCAATGTTTGATCTGCAGATCTTTTAGACTGTGATCAAACTTTCTGCAGATCTTTTAGACTGAACTCAAAGTTAGAGATTTGATAGGGGCCTGATTTATCTAAGTGAGGAGAAGATCTTCTGGTTTCAAAGCATATGTGTTAATAAGTGAGAATTTGATGTCCAGTAATGCCCTTCTCTCCTATTCTATGCAACCCCCTTCAGTTGGTGTGAACATCGGAATAGCAACCATCATCAACAACCACCAACTACACAATGGCCAACACTTCATTTTAACACTAATGGTTTCTTAGATTCTCAAATAATGAATCATTTTTTTACAGAAGCAAATAATGCATTTCATAATTGGAATCACCACATATTTGGGTACATATATAGTGAGGCATACAAGCCACTAATGATGGAGTTAGGCAGACACAGTCCAAGTCAGCTACAACATTATTTTATGTTGAACAAGTCTTAATGTTAGAAAGTCATTAGCATAAGTCATGAGTCATAGGTTATAAGTCATAAGAGTAGGTAGGAATGACACTCTCTTGAATACTTATTATAACTTACAAATTCTTGACTTTTAGATAATTTCTCAGTTTCTGTTTTTTACAATATGTTTACTGCTTATGTAGATAAAAATTATTAACCGGATCTTTTTTAATTCTGTACTAATTACTAATAGAAATTAGGGTACAATGTCACTGAATAGTAATCATGTTTGACATTCATCTACGTATCTCAAACTCTTTTTGATGAGGTTTAACCACTCAAGTTTCATATTTGTGAAATCAGGTAACTTGTATCTTGTTACCTGTTGCTGGACTGATGACATGGCAGTGACATGGTCAATACTTTTGATGATGTGGCAACATGTTTGAAGCAATTTCATTAAATAATAACCAAGTCTAATTGTTTCCGTTGTTGTGAAATTTGTCCCATTGTATAATGTTGTACCATTTGCATACTGTATCCGCTTGAAAGAAAGATTAAGAAAACATACCGTTCAGTAGGCCTTTTCATACCACTAACACAGTTAGTTTCTTCCTTGCATCCGTTGTTCTTCACTGTAAAACAATTCAGCGAATTGGTTGTTAAAGAATACGTGTAACCTAAATTATGAAAACCAAACAATTCTAATCAATGCAAATGTTATATCCTTAAACATAAATAGGATGAGAGTTGAATCACCTTGGGAAAGCCACTGTTCATGACGAACATCAAGTTTGATCTGCTTCAATTTGGCCGTTCTATTCACCTTCAAAACCGAACAAAAATTCACAATTACTCAAACGAATATGCAAAAAACACTTTTCAAGATGACAATCGCCGGTCAATTTTAAGTCGACAGTTGAAAACGGAAGATGGAAGTGAAAGCCCTAAAATCAGAAAGAGAAAGCCCTGAAATCTACCTGTTGATTGAATAGTGTGGGGTATTCTGTCATCTTCTTGTAGGCGGTGGAGAGGGAAGCAC